TCTGTACCACTTCTACGATACTCTGAACCTGCTTCTAAGCCTACCACCCTCCATCAGGGATTTGAATGCCCGATCAAATTCTGCATTTTCGAGACACAAACGAAGGGGTATACAAATTTTGAAAAAACGAATCGTATCTGTCGAGTGGCACGCGTTTATTTTTAAGAACCATAAAAATGTCGATCATCGATTCATGACGGTGTACGTGACGGCACGGCGTCTGTCCTCGGATATTTTCAACGTCGGTTCCTCGGAGAGGCGTCCACGCAATTAACGATGATTCGGCGCAAGCCGGCGTGCGGCCTTGTTGCCGGTCTTGCATTTCGGTCGGCGTCTTTGGCGCCGGTGCACGCTTCGCCTCCATTTTTTTTCGTCCGCACCGAAGAGGTTGTTGGAGGATCGTAAAAAAGAGAAAAAGGATCGAACGGGGTGGAGAAGAGGCAGCGAGCGAAGAAGCGGACGCACGGGACGAAGGAAGAGGTTCGATGGAGCGAGCGAGGAAGGCAGGCAGCAGCGAGTAAATTTACCTTGGCGTGGGCCGGGCCCTGCGCCGGCCTTGTCGGTACCCTTGGATTTCGGTCGGTGTCCTTGGCACTGATGGCGGCCACTCGGCCTGGTACCACTTCATTCTCCCCATCTCCGGCCATTACTCGCGTTCTCCTTCTCCTCGTCGGAATATTATCCTTCTTCTGTCTCCTCCGCTTCGTCTCCTTCGTCCTGTGCCTCTCCGCGTCCCTCGCCCTCGCCGCTCCTCTAGGCCCCTCTTTCTCCGTGGCTCTTTTATTTGTTTATTCTTTTGGGCCGGCCGGCGGCCGCTCTTTGTCCCTTGGCGCGCCGGCTGGTTGGTCGCCGCAGCTCGGTTGGACGTTGAACGTTGGTTGCTCCTTCGAATACTTGCGCTCAGGGTATACTGACCTACCACGACTGCCAGCGGAGAGTACCAGGCCGGCGAACACACCTCGCTTCGGCGGGCCCGCAAACTTCGGGTACAGTCGACGCCGGCAACGAGTCCCCTGGAATTCGATCGGGTACACTACGGCCCAAATTTCAGTCGCAATATTCGATACGATCGTCCCTCGACGAGAACCATGAGAACTCCGACAGAGAAAAATACCTGAACCATTAAGGTGTCTCGGTTCGACTCGTTTACGATTGTTCCTGCAAACGATCGATTACAGCCGACGAATTACGTATCCTGCGCCGAGGATTTTACCTAGCGGGAAGCCTGTACCATCGGTGACTCCCGTAAACTGACTTTGCGAGGAGAGGAGAGAGTGCGAGTCGAGGGAAAAAAAGCAGGACGCGACGATGCACCGGCCCAGACCGAGGAGAAAGAAGGATTGAGAAAACTGAACGTTCACGAGCGACGACGGTTGCTACAGGATAAGCAACACCGGCAGGCAGCCAGGCAGCAGCTGCACTCGCAGAGCCAATAACCTTGTTTCGAATCATCTTACTCGCGTAACGCGATGGCTGTACCGAGTAACGCTCTACAGCACGTTTCACATCCTTGCTCCACCGCGGTTCTAAACGTCAGCTTGCAACATTTAAATTATCAAAGTCCTCCTGCACGAAACGGTCCTCCTTATACGGCGAACAAATTGAACCGGTAAGAGCGATTCGCGACCGCGTGCATATAAATACACGGGAGAGAACACGCGTGTTCGTTGCGGGATCGGCGCGCGTAACGCGATCCGAAAACTGTTATCCGCAAAGTCGCGGTCGGCGTTGACGCGCAAAATATTAGACGGGTTGGTCGGCGAACGATACTGCATGTGCGTCCAGCGGCGTTGCTGTTACAATTTTCATTTATACCGGTAGCCACCGTAATTGCGTGTACTTCCCGTGATTACACGTGTGCCACCAATAGATTCTCTTGCAATATCCGATTCCGCGGTCTGACAAAGCGTCGAAGGTTGTTTCGAGATTTTCACTCGCAACGCAGTGATCTATTTTTACTTGGAAACGGGGCAGAGGTACCAAAAGAGGGAATTTCGTGCTGGACACCGATTTCGAGTCCGAGCTCGGATAGTGGGTAATCAGCGTGCGTCGTCGCTCGAAATGTTATTAAGGCGAAGCAGATAACAGGCAGGTGCGGATACGAACCTTCTGGGCGTAACAACCAAAACGCACGCGAAACCTCTCGCGCGTGACGAGACATCGCGGTCGGGCTGTCGAACTGTGTTGAATCGTTGGATTCAAGGTAAAACGTTCGTACGTATTCGTGGTATTCGCGAGACCCGGAGCGAGGGACCTAGATGCTTCCCGCCGTGGAAGAAGAGCCGGCTGCGTTTTCTAGGTTGAGATTTTTGCGCCAGACCGCTGGAACCTCGCGACGCGATCGTCCCGATTACGCGTCCCACTTCGTCAGCAATGGATTCGTTTGCGATCGATCAGAATTAACATTGTAATCGTTTCGAGCAGCTGGTAAATCAAAATGAATAGATGGTCGGTCGTGATCGATGTCGAGCCATGGAAAAGGCAGAAAAATGTTTTCCAAACGCTCCTCTTGGAAATTGCTCGACGAAGAGACTCCAGAGTCTCCTGTGCGAAACGCCTCGATCTCATGCTCGAGTCGTTTCACGCGAGTAACGAGCAGTATCACGAATTTCCCACAAAAAAACATCGCCCGAATGGCAGGAGAGTTTGCAGTCCCAAGAAGGCTATTTTTAAACGCGGAGAGGAACGTTTCGCCATCCCCCTCGGTGCACGCAGGTTGCGAGCGGCAGCGTTTTCAGCCGTCCCATGGTGCTCGGGCATGGTCCCTCGCGAATCGCGCAGGGTACGCGATGCTCGGAACAGAAGGGACCGAGAAGAAAAAGAAAGAAAGGAGCGGCGAGGGAAAGAGAGCCGGCTCGAGTTAGGACGGAGAAGAGAGCGAGAAGGAAGCGTCGAAGGAAGGACAGGAGGTGCGGCGGGTCGCCGTGGAAGGATGGAGGAAACGAGGAGGGCATGGAGTATAGAGATAGCGGGGAACGGTGCGGTCATGGCGGTGGTCGTTGCCGGACGGGAGGGGCAACGCAAAACCGCGTGCGGCAGGTTCGGGTTCGGCAAGTTGGCTTTCGTTGGCAATCGCGTTCGTTCGGCGCGCGAAGGTCGGGATCAATGGCCGTAGGACCCTCCTGGCCGAGCGGGGTCCGGGGCCAGGGCCAGGGCGGGGGTCCGGGACGAGCAGGGAGGGCCCCGAGCCACCACCGCGCGCGGTGGGGGAACCCCGCCACAAGTTGGGTACCAAAAGAGGAGAAATTGAGTTGGCGCACCGGTGGTACACCTCGCTCCGCGTGCCCCTCGAAGGTCCCACGGGCCAGCTGGCTCGGGCGCAGCCTTCTTCCTCGGGCCCGACCGAGAATCCGATGGAAGAAATGCCCAACGTGGAACGCGATGCGCGTATCGCCCATGACCTGACCCAGGGATACGAATCTGGTACCATTGTCGGAATGATTCCAATCGGTACGCGACGATGCCTTTAAAATTGCGTAATGATCGATTCGTCGAGGTCGAATTACTCGCTTTTGTCGGTCTTGTCACAGAGAAGACGATACCAGTAATCGTTTCCATTAAAATTTCGTTTATAAAACCGACGTGGCTGTAGCTGCGCGTTTTTCTCTCGGCCGTCCGTTTCCTGGCGTCTTCCAGATACGGGAGAGGCGGCCGACGGACGGGCCACCGGAAAAGGGGCCACCGTGAGAAATCCGAGTGAAGAGTGAGAGAAACCGGTGCCCGAAGGTCTTCGACCGTCGACTTCTTCTCGGTCCCGTGGTTCGACGGAAGCGGCGTTGATAACGATTATGGTGTTTCGCGGTGAAAAGGAAACGGTCCTCCCGACGTGACGCGACGCGATGCTTCCAATTTTTCAAAATGTCTCAGTTCTTTTTTCACCGCCAATCGGTAGCGGTTGTTAATTATACAGACATGACAGCGATGAAATTTATTTTCCACTTGCTCCCGTTGATATTCGATTCGCTTGCATCTGGCAGCGCAAACAAATTTTTTTTTTATAAATTCGCGCGCCGATGGTAGCTCGCGTGCAACAATAATATCGTTGAATCCTTCCTGCGCTATTTTTTTTTTTTTTCACACATTTCACCGCCTCCCTTTAACTTTTCGACAATGACTGATCGTCCTAATCCCCTAATTGATTTCCGCGTCGCGCACGAATATTTTATTAAAAAACGAAGACTCTGTTGAAATGTCATACGCGGGCGTTTCGCATATTTGTTTAGCGGTCGCGTTCGAAATATTGCATCGAAAAATCATTTACGATATTAACATGGCCAGCCCTCGCAACGGATAAACACGAGATATAAAATCTGTGGCTGTAAATGAAAATAGGTACAAAAATCAAATTCGTATATTGACCAAGTTGTATAATATTATTCTGTTGGAAAATCAATTCCGTCAGGTAAAAAATATTTTACAGAATCGACTGTGACAAAAGTTTAGAAAATCGGAAAAAGTCAAATAAAAAACATTGCATGATAGATAATCAGAACGTGCTGATGATCGAATTAATTGAACGTTTTCTTAGTATCTAAAACACGCATGGGTTTCGGACGCCATCGAGCGAGAGCACTTTGTCCATTCTCTCGTGATGGCAAATGGCGATTAGATGGGTGGGTCTGCGTATACCTCGAAGCTCAGTGGCCGTCCGAAAACCCGATGCCTTCTTCCGTACGAAGGTCGACCAGTTCTCTTTTCTTACCTGCTTCCCAGGATCCTCCTACACGGTCTCGCATCGTCTTGGCACCGTTTCTATTTCTGCCTCCATTACTGTCATTCTCCTGCTCGTAACCGAGGTATCTATATTTCATGGCTGGTTGCCCGTGCTTCCGTGGCGTTGAAAGAGCCATCGCGCGCTCGAACCCGTTTAGATCGGTCGAGCCAACGAATCGAGTCTCCATCGTTCGTGTCAACTTTCTTTGAACCGAACGTTTAACGAATTACGATTTTTTCCTGTTGTCTGCCGTATTAACGGTCTCCTTTCGTGTTTTCAATTGCAGGAACGGAAAGATTCTGAGAATACGAATTTACTAAGTGGACGAAGGACCAAAGGAGGCCATGAGAATTTAGGATGGGACTAAGCCAGGGTCACGTGGGCGGTACGGAGACGATGAAGAGGGAACCAACGAGGAAGGTGGTTAGTATTCGAAGAAGGAGCGGCCGATCTCGACCTACCCGAAATTCCAAGCCGGTTCTCTCTCGACTGCCGTTCCGTTCCGTTCCCCACCTGAGAATTTTCGAGGGGGCACCCTCTCTGGAAGCTCGCTCGCACAGGCCTACTTCTGCTCCCGCGAGTTGAACGGTCGTTCATTCGTTTATTCCGTGGAGCAGCGCATTGTGCGCGCCTCGAGCCCTTGCTTTTCCCGTTCCTCTCGCTCTTTCGTACGCGAAATCCTCTCCTTCCCGCGTCACTCGCCTCTCCGTTCCGCTTCGTTTTTCGACCCGCTCGCTCCCGCATAGGTACACCGGGAACCAGAAGGCTCCTGCTGGCCGCCTCTTTTTCTTTCCCTTCTATCTCTCTCTCTCTCTCTCTCTCTCTTTCTCTTTTCTCGATTCCCCTCGCGTGTTCGCGTACCGCAGCATGTAGCTGTGTACGCATCGCTCGCAACGTACGCTCCTCGTTCTTTACAGCGTTGGAAAAAGTGGTTTCGATTCGACGAGTAGGTACGCGCCGGGTTCGACCAGTTTCGCGAGGCAACCCGCGATCCGGAATGGAGAAGCCACCGCGCTCCGATCCCGCGGCTGGCTGCATCCGGTGAAAAATCATTGGAAGAACCCGGACCGGCCGGTGGAACGCGATAATTTCGCGCCGCCCGGCAAGTTCCGTAAATAATCCCGTGTTCGATTCCAATAATTAGGATATTTCGCGTACACGCGAAATTAATTTTGTACCGGGGACCGATTCGTCGCCGATGCAGACGCACAATTTTCCTGAACAAATAACAACAGAGCCTGGGTATGAAAACTGACGACCGGGCGTAAACATTACGCCCGGAAACCGTTACCACGGAAATCGAATTGAGGGATCGAAAGACGCGCGGATCCGAATTCCGCCGGAGCGTTTCCCCGCTCGTTCCGTTCTTTTTTTTTTTTCCCGCCGGAGAGTTTCGCCCCCGCGGAAGGATCCGCGGTTCACTGCGACGCGACGGAATGAACGGAGGCTGATTACGGTATCGTATTATTTTAATGCGAGCATTTTAATATCGGCTGAAATATCGCGTTACCCAGAGTGCCGCGGCGGGCATGATTACAACGCGACGTTCTGCGATATTAATAACGCTTCATTTGGATAACGTAATATTCGTACGGAAAACGTGGAAAACCTGGCTCTCGCCGGATTTTGCAAATAGTCTTTAAATAAATATCATTAAATTTCACGTCTGGCCAACTCCGCAGGTTAATTATTACGATCTCGTTTCGCGCGGGACAAACATTCTTGTCGCGTTCATCGTTCAACTACATCGCCCGTTCAGACATCGTCCGCAGGTGGAAAAAAAAGAGAGTTTTCGGTGTTTTTAATAATCGAGACGATCGAATAAACTCGTCGGTTCTCGCAACGGATTTTGTTACCGGCACGGGCGTTTCAGTTTTTTTTTCGTCGGCCGGTGAGCAGGCCAGTCCGCTGTCACGATTATTGCGAGACGTCGTCGGTCGAAAAATCCATTTCGCCGTATTACGCGCTGCCGGCCCGCTGCCGACTGCATGCCAGCAGAAAATCACGAAAAAAAGGCCGAATCGATCGTCCGAGGAGCGTCCATTACGCTTTATTATACGCCCGAGTCCTCTACGCGATCCTCTTCGTGGTTTCCCGTCGATCGCGAGCCTCTCTTTCTCTGCCTCTCTCGATCTCGCTCCCGCCCGGCTCTGTGTGTCATTCCCATTCCGATGACAGAACAGAAATGGAAAGCTACTGGGTATAACGAAGAGGATAAACGAAACGGTAAGGGGAAGGGGGAGGGGTTGATCAAGGGACGGAACGGTCATCGTGAAAAAAGCAATAGCTAATAATATTTCCAATGATATTGCTAATACTCATACATATCGAGCGAAAGATATTCGTGCTAAATGTTTGCCGATGTTCGTTCGGCTCGACGGTCTCGAGTGTCTCGCTGTCCGTGACACGTCTTTATGTTAGGCACCGTCTGTCCGAACTTCTTTGGGTACATGGATGTACATTCGACCGAACGATTTGCGAGCATCACGTATTCGACTCGTTCGTTAAAGAAACGCTTTCGAACCCTGACCACGGTACGCCACTATGATCACGCGAACAAAGAGAGAGAGAAAGAGAGAGAGAGAGTACGACTCGAAAAATATCGACGGACTTGTTTTCGAGCCACTGTGTATATAAACGCGATGGTGTACGCGTGTGCGTGCACATCTCTACTTTACGTTCCACCGCGGCACGGCACCCCTAACCGTGGCTTATGGTCGTCAAAGGGATGCACGCGTGGCCTATGTGCATAATACCGTGCATCGATATAGAGCGAGCGAGCGAGTATGGGTCTCTGCACCGCGGCCGTATACGTACACCGTGTGTGCGCGCTCTGCACTCACGCACACGCGTGCACGTTGCCCGGCTGTCTTCGACGCTGCTGCGTCGAGGACGGTGCAACGACCCGCGTCGCGGATCGAAATTGCGAGGTCGAAGCGATGATCGAGTCGGTCCTCCAACACATTGTATACCGCGAGCGACGTGGCCGACGTTAAAATAGTTGCTTCGGCCGGACGTCGACGCCACTCGACGCCGCTCGAATAAAAATCCTGCAGCCCCGCGGTCTCTCTATTTCTCTCTGCGCCGCGGCGTCCCGACGCGATGCGACGTTTCGGTTGATAAGCCCCGGCCGATCTTTTGTCGCGGCCGAACGCGGCCAACCGATTCCATTCCGGACGATCTTTGCGACGACGTCACGCCGGTGCCCTCGATGTCGCGTCGACCTGTTCGCGTTTCCCTTCCCCCCGAGAGAGCGGCGCGCTTTCTTCTTCGTTTTCGTATTTCCAACCGTTTCGTCCTCTGTTTCCCGATGCCGGACCAATTACTCCGATCTCACGGCCGGCGGAGCACGCGTACCGTCTTTTGTCTCGTTAATCCGGTGAATTATCCGAGCGGCGAGCCATCTCGCAATAGTTTTGGTTGAAAAACGTTCGAGGCGTAAGAGGGTCGGTGACCATGACGCCTCGGGACAGCTGTCCGTTTCCCTGCTCGAAGGGGAAGGCGTCAGGGGCATCCTCGACGCCGGCTCGACGTCCGCGGAACCACCAGCACCAACGACCACAGCCGACTACCACCACCGCCCGACCCTATCGCCGCCACCTTACTCTATAACACTTTGACCGGTCGATAGTATCTTAAATGCAATTCGCTCGCTTCGTAACAGCTAATTTTAAGCAGCCTGTTTATACCCCTGTTTATTCATTCATGCCGATACCACGGCCCCGAGGTCGGGGTGTTGCGCGCATAGCTGTTGCTCGTTTCGTTTCGTCTCGTGCGGCTTTTCCATTCGTCCTGGCTGCTCCCGTCCCCTCCCGGCCACCTTTTTCGAGGAGCTGGGGTCTTTCGTTTGCACGCACTCCGCGCGCTCGCGTGCACCTACGTATATCCACTGCCGAAGGAAAGCCCTCTCCAGATGGGTACTCGAATCCCGGTTACCCGTGAGACAAAAGTTCTCCACGAGGCCGATCAAAAATCCGATTTCAGATCGTTCGATCTTTGCTTCACGAACGCGTCTCGTCTAAATTACGTTGACCCTGTCTGTTGGTAACACGTCGAAAAAGGCATTTGATAGACGAGAAGTTGAAGGAACCTCGAGAATGAATTCCTCGCGGAGATGGCAGGTCGCTCATCGAGGATGACATCGTTAAGCGACCGTAACCGCTATAATCGAACCGTAATCGGTGACGGACGGAGTCCGATAACCGGGAAACGGTCGCGGCGCGCCGTGGCTCGTCCTTAGCCAGCGGTAGCGGGCTCGTAAACTGGCGATCGTTGCGTAACGCGTTGCATTGCGCGTTTACGCTCACGCCTCGGTGGAAAGTGCAACGCGGGGAGGAGGCCGAGCGCGTGTCCGTGGATTCAGTTATAATCGGGAGACTCGAAGTCGCCGAATAAACTCGCTGGCTGGTTAACGGTTTCCCCTCGGCAGGATCTGGCGAGGAACACGACAGTTACATTAGCCTCGGGCCGAGATACCGATACCGTGTAACAGCTTTCAGCTTTATTTTTCCAGCCGCGACCTTACCTCGTTTCCGAACATTTTTACTTGCACGGAAATAGGCTCTCGCCTCTGTAACAGCGAGACTTCTCGTACTCATCGTTCCTAATAAATTTCGTCGTCCCTTATAAATTAATTTACACGTTTACGACGCATCGAGGATTTCTGACCGTTCCGAGCGTAAAATCGTACGGTAGCCACTTTCGATGCGACGTAACTGTAAACACTATTTTACAATTAACCGGTAATACGTAGTCAATGGCCGTTATGTGACTGCCGCTCTCTACTATGTATTACTTTTGAAACGGTACGTGGAAAAGTGCAACGCGAGGAATGAACATACACACGCGGTACGAGTCGCGTGTGTCGAGTTGTACGCGGTTATACATAGGAGTCGATCGCGAACGAAACGCAGAAGGAGGCAACTATAAACGCGGCGACTATCCCGTGGCGTAACTATACGGCCTACTAAAAGTTAGCCGTTGCATAATTCCGTAGTACCCACGCTTCGAGAGAGTCGGCTTTCAGCATCCCCGCCTCGTCCCTTTTTCTTCTTCTGTTATTCTACCACCGTTCTCCGTTCCTTTGTCCCCGTTCCCTCCGCCTGGCAGCCTGCTCACGTGATTTCCTCGTTTCTCGGAGCAAACGCGTTTTCGAGAATCCGTGTGATCGGATGCCGATTTACTCCCCAATTAGGTTCTTGAGAAACTCCCAGCCGGCAGTTTTCTTCTGTGATTGATTACTACTTAATTACGCTATATGTATGTATGGTTTCATCTTTATTGTTCGTAACCCGTGAGCTTCGCGCACGCCGGCAAGTCGCCAGCTGCGAGTAGGATATTACCTGGACGTTCGGCAATAATTAGTGTCTCTCGGTGCACCTGCTTCGGTTTCAATAGCGATCTTTCAGTTCCTTTCGCCTCGA